ATAAACTTTAGTATATATATTTTTTTATTTTAAAAGTTTTTTTTTGAATATTAATAGTGAGACTATATCTCTGACTTTATTAAAATTTAATTTAATTCTTTTACAATGAAAAGAAAATCTTTACAAAGAAAAGAATCTATTTAAATTTTATATTTTAAGATAGCAAGAAAAGAAACTCAGACTAATTTATCTACGATCTAAACCAATTTTATTTTAAAAGTTAATATATGATCTATAGCTAAATCTATATAAATTAAATATATTAATAAAACCAGAAGTATGATTTCATCTTGATATTGAAAAAATATATATATTTTTATTTTTTTGTTAAGATTCTTATATTGGATAATAGATTATTATTTTGTATAGTTAAAAGTTTTTGTTTAATTGACAATTTTTTTCTAACAATAATTTTTTTAAATTTTGTATAAATTTAAACTCTTTAATATTTGTTTTCGTTTTTTATATACAGTCTAACTTCTCTATAATCACACCCTTTAGGATAAAGATTTGTATAATTGTAAAGAGAATTTTATTAAGATATGCTTATAAAGAGTTTTTTTCTATATATCTATAATAGTTGGTTTTAAAATAAATATGCTTATAAAGAGAATTTTTATATAATGTACTTATATAGAAGGTGACTATAGGAAGGTTTGACTGTATTTGTTTTTATTTTCTTACTTTTATATTTTATATTTTTTATTTTTTATTTTCTAATTTTTTATTTTTTTTCTACAAGAAAGTATTATTAGTTTGATAATATTCTATTATAGAGTAAAAATCTTTATAAAGCAATATTTTTTTTAGTATTAAAATAAGACCTTGTATTTTGAGTTTTTATTTAGTAAGGGATATGACAAAAATCAAATGATTTTTTAGGTGAGGAGGGTAAAAAAAAGTTAAATTTATATATAAGAACCTGATTTTTTTTATATTAAAAGGAGGAGGGAGTAAACTTCTTATAAAAAATAATCAGGTGATAAATGATACTGCTCTAATATTACTATATATATATATAGTTAGGTAGAGATATTTATCAGATGATTTAAAGTTAATAAGAGGCCTACTTCTCTTCTTTATCTAATATAATATAACAAAATTTAATATTTGATTAGCTAATTATTAATTATAAAACTATATATACAGTATATAAATACTTAGTATAATCTAATTTTAAATTTATTTATATTATAATATATAGATACAAATAAAATTGGTAAATATTTTTTAAACATATTCAAATATACTTATTTTGTATAATAAATTACTTTATAGCTAATATAAAGAGCACTCTTTTATTTTATAGATATTCAACTTAATATATATCTATATACCTATTATATTAGAGGTTTGCTATTGTATATTTTTATATATATATACATTCATATGTATATATTTGTATATCTTTATATACATATATTTGTATTCATATACATGTATTTAAATATATTCATAATCATACTACACAAATATATTCTATTTATTGAATTTTGATATAAAGTTAATTCTTAATTAAAGTTACTATTATTTAATTAATAATTGTAGATTTTAGCTATTTGTGAATAATAATAAATAAATATATATTAATATCTATTTTTATTGGCTAGATATTACATATATATTGAAAAATTAACCAAAATACAAAAATTTGAAAATAATAAATTTAAATCCAAAAAATTTAAAAAAAATTAAAATTTTTTATATACAAGAGCAAATCTAATTTAGGTAATTATATTTCTTATAATTTCATCTTTTAAAAAAAATTTCAAAAAATTGTTTTTTAAGTAAAATAGATCAAAAACAATTTTGTTTTCAAATTTTAATTTTGGGGTTTTAAATCTCACTTGTCTTATATTAAAATTTTTTAAAAAAAGAGATTAAGACCCTATAGCTTAGTAGTTTAAGCGTTTACACCTCATAACCAAGATCTTTGGTTCAAGTTCTACTAGAAACAGTTTCTAGAATATTTAAATGCAAAACCCTGTGAAAGTCCAAGTGAAGTACAAATTTGGTTTAAGAATTTCTGAAAAGAGATCCATTATAAAAAAAAAAAGCACTATATATGACAGCAGCATTACAGAAAATTTAACAACAAAAAGATTATACAAGTAAATCTTGCAGATAACAAGATAACACCAACAACCCTAAGGTGGTTTTGGGATCTTGATTAGAAGAGTAATATAACTATTATACAAAACTGAAGTAGTGAGAAAAATAGCAAATATAAAGAGATTTGTGATAAAAAATTAGCCAACCAAATAAGAAACACCTCTGACAATCTATACTAATATGAAGTGGTTAGTATAGAGAGGTGTTACAGAATATCTGTATACATATAAAAGACTCGCATATCACCAATATAAGTCATATCCAATTGAAGTTTCTGACAAAACACAAGACCAATATAGATACACCAATTCTAAAACACCAACTAATATAACCATAAGTTAGAAATAATATTGTTATGCAAAACTTGATTGGAAGTAACTCTACTGGTTAGAATTATGCTCATGTCTAGGTCTATACCAATTTAGAAAGAATATAAATAGATATACTGTATATATACTTAAATGATAAGTCTACTACTAAAAGGGTATGAAGATCAACTAGATAATTAGAAGAGCAATCTGAAGATTTACCTGATTAGAATCCTATGTATAGATAGGTGTATACACCAAATTGGGAGTATTTAGGTATGATGGCAGAAAAATCCTACCAATCTGGTAGTTTATATAGTATATGAAAAATATATTAACATAATATAATAGTATAAAAAATCCTGATATATACTAAAAGTGGTTAGATAAATCAGGTAGGGATATGCATTTGTGGATAAAATAGTCCTAAGCTAAAGTCTTACTAGTTGTACTATAGTTACCACATAATTTGTAATTATAATATACATAATAAAGACGTAGGCAAAAGATGCCACCCTTAAAAAAAATAAAAATAAAAATAAAAAAAAATAAAATTTTCAAAAAAAACAAAATGCAGATGAGATTTTCCAATTATATAACATGGTATAAAATTTATTTAAATTTATTTACTAACAGGCTTATAGTAAATTTACTTTAGAAAAATTTTTATTTAAAGTACAAAAGGTGGTTTCTTATATAAATTTTTGAAATAATGACAATTTTTATCAAAACGAACGTTTGAATCGTTCTGATCATATAACGTTACACCAACTATTGGTCGCGTTTAAAATTTTGCAAGTTTTTTTTTATTAGTGCGCAACAGGCGGTTTTTTAAAAACATGATTTTCACGTTACACCTGATCTTGTAAACTTTACTGAACTGATATCAGAATTTAATTGGTTAGTGTAATGCTTGTTAAAGCTGGTGTTTGTATTAGGAAACTTAACAAAAGACTACTTAATAACACCGGAGAATTTCGTGTAACATTTACGCTTAACCAGTAATGTTTAAAAACCGAACTTCTTTCATTGCCTATTAGGTTGCTCTTTAAAAAAAAACGATTTATTTTTCGATTTTAAATTTTTTTTAGGAAACTTCAAAACTAATACTATGCCGCCAAAACAAGACCAAGCAATAGGCGCAACGCTTCTCCTTTCTTCTGCCTCTTTGTTTGCATATTACACTATATGGGCTTTGATTATGGTTTGCGACAAATTCTTATTCTTTAGCAATTTTTTTAAATATATTCAATTCAATTCAATAATTAACAAGAAATTTACATAAATGTAGCCATTTGTCGACGATGGTCATCCCCTACATGAATATTTTCCCGACAGAAAATATGCGATAATAATTCCCGTCGTTTTACTGCTTTTTGGATTAACTGTCGTATTTACTTTTCTGGCTTTAGTTATGATTAAAAGCAATGGGACCAAAAAGGGTGTTAAAAAGGCTTAGCGGTATATTTTTTAATTGGATATTTATACAGTATATTTTTTAATTGGATGTTTAAAAGAAATATAGTCCGATACCAAAAGATTTACACCTCCAAAAAAAATGCTAATAGAAAAAATTTTTTATTAAGTAAACCTTTTTATTTAACTAATATCAGTATATATTCAGAAATGTATATATTCAGAAATATCACATCTTCATTAGATTCAAAATAATCCTTGCATTTTTAAGCGTTTCTATAGAGCTCGATTACACTTTGAGGATTAATCTTTTTTTCTAAACGCATTTAGGTGTGCATTTCGAATTGACAAAAGGTTTAAATGTCGTTAGTTGTGTCATTTTGCTATTTCAACAAGAGAATTTCACCTTTTCTTTATTTATTTGAACTAGCTAAAAAAGCCCCAATCTTCGTAATTCACTAGAAAAATAAACAATTAGCCAGTTAATGATGGATTACTCTCGATCTGCTGTTATGTGAATGTTTATTAGTCCGTACTTTTCATGATGCGTTTTACCTCAAAATTATCGTTGAAATTTCAATATACCGTACGGTTACGAAATAACGTTTCCCTGAGCGTTGTTTCGAGATAAATGATCAAATTTTGGATTTGATATACATATATCAATCCACTTATATATGTTACTATATGCTATACAAAATGCGCGTTATTAGAATATGACGTTTAAAGAATACAATTTCCAAAATAACGGTGATCTTTATTGGGAACGATATTTTCATCTTTAACCTTAGAAAAACCATTCATTCTTCGGTATCGTCGTCAGTTGAATACAGAATACAACCCGTGACGAAACCAAACTCCTTTAATAAAATATAGTTACAGACAATATATTATAGATCTTTTGCTGAAATATGTGATCACATTCTTGCTTTATTATTACGAACAAAATAAGACTTAAAAAAAATTTAATATTTTAAAATTTTTTTTTTTTTATTATTATTTATATCCGCAATGCTACATATAATAATTTATCTAATGTTAAGTGTAGTAATTTATTCATATTCTTGTAATTAGATGCTAAGCTTGATTCAATTTAATGCTAAACCATTGTCAACAATAATTTAAAAATATGTTTAATAAGCTTATTCAAATCGTTCAATGCAGTTATTTAATCAAAGGAATCCAGGTAAAAGTTCTCTTTTGATATTCAACGTATTCATTTCCAAAAAACTTGATAAGAAGACGTTCTTCTTCACGAATACGTTCACTAAAGAATTTATTCATGACGACGAGAAATCCTATGAAACATATTGGGTTACAAAGTAAGAGTTGGCTACCAGCCGCCCAATAGTAGAATCCAAAATATGATGGATGTCTCAAATACCTACAATGAAAGAAGATGATAAGATTCATCTATTTTTTTTTTTTTTTTGGATTATTTAAAAAAATAGATCAGAAAGAGGCCTACGCATAAATTCCTGTAGTCACGAGAACATGTTCTTTTCGTTTATGATATTGAATCGTATGAGTGAAATTATGCTTGGCATGCCACATCGCACAACTTCTAGCAAACTGGCCTACTACTGTAGCTAGAAAACCTATAAACGAACAGTTAAAAAACAATTAAATATAAAAAGAAAGTAAATGTGAAATTCGTTTATACCTATGAAATAAAATAGTTTTATGCTTTTATAATTAGGAAATAGATATGATTCTATTAAAAATTCGATTATAGCAGCACCGTGTGCAATATGATATTGATGACCATTGTTAATTAAAAAAGCTAAATTAAGGGAAAAAAAATTTTTTTAATAAGATAGTTAATAATAAGGAAAAGCAAAAGTAAATATACTAACAATCCAATGATAATATATTTGAATTAAACAAAGCCGTAAAGAGGTATTCCAGCTCATGAAATAAAGCTAAGGCGGCCAAGAAAACTCCAAGTTGAGAAAACGTTTCTGAGTACCAGCCAACAGAAACGGAAGCAGAAAAGATGGCACCAAGAACAAAGCTGTAAACTGATATATTTTGTGGAGTATTACGACCGTCCAGAATTAAGGAACCTTGATCTTCCTGTATTATATGTGTTCGATCTAAAACATTCTTGAAGGCCATTTTGGTTAGAGTCCTTTGAGCTCTTCTTGTGTCGTCTTAGGAGTTAGAAGCCGAAAAGTGGATAAAAGTTGTAAAAATAGGTCGATATGGTAGAAGAAAAAAAATTCTTTAATTCCATATTTATTGTAAAAGAAATATTTTGTTAATGCTAACATAATACGTATATATAATATATATTGATTTAATAAATACATGCGTTTTTAGTATTATTTAATATATACCTACGTACGTAATCAAATCACAATCGTGAAAGTAGCAAGAATTCGATTAATTTTTCTATTATCTGTTACGTATCGGTTTACTGTTACACCAGATATTTCTTTATGCAAGTCGGTGTCTCATTTCGGTCTAATTACATAGTACGGGTAACATAGCAGGTTTATTGGTCAAAGTAAGCTTTTTATGTATATATACTTTTAATTATATACGTAGAAAGATATCGATATGTACGTGTACGTACGTACGTACAGTAGCCACCAAAAGTAACGCCCGATTTGCAGATCATCTCACATGAGCAAATAAAACGGCTGTGTTTAC